AATAAATATATACACATATATTTTCTGAAAACTAATAATTATTATGTTCGCATAACATGTGTCCTCCTTCATCGATCCATTATACTTATTTGTTATTTTCGTCCCTACGAAAGGCATTCAGCATTATACAATATATCGTTATAGTCTTCTATATAAAAATTGGTTGATTTTAAGACGACAGCGTATGAGAAGCCACTGGATATCAACGGACTGTGTGATCTATAGTAATTTAAGGCCCATAGATTTGATGAAAGCCCAATCGATAAAGACGAAGCTTTGATTAAACGCTGAGTTTGAAAGAGGAAGGACAGGTGTCAATCAGTGAGAAAGTGATTTAGTGACATGGCACTCCCATGAGAGAATGAACTATACTTTATATATATAGATTGTACTGATTGTGAATGTGGATTTGTTGCAGTGTTTCAGTGTTTCAGTGTGGAGTTTATAAACAAGCCAAAAGCTAAGGGTCCGAATGGTGACCGCGGTTTTCGTAATATAAGCGGTGCGGAATTAAAGTGTGGTACGGTTCAACTGCGGTTCATGCGGTTTACGGGACAAGTGCGGATTTGATTAAAAGAAGTGCGGCTTTGATTAAAAAGTAGTGCGGTTTTGAAAGAAAATAATGTAAAATAAATATATGAATATGATTCAAATTAAGTTTATTTGAATAATGTCATAATATTTGTATAAATTTTGATATTAAAATTTATTTTCAATAAAAATATATTTTCTATATATTTTCTTGTTAATTTAAATTTAACTATTAAAATTCTTTTGAAGCAAAATACAATTCAAAATTATTATAATATTTATTTAAATTAAATATAACTAAGTTAATATGATTTTTTATGAAATATTTTTAAATTTTGAAATTTATTATTTTTAATAGAATTTGAGAAAATAATGTTTTACTATCAAACCATGTCTAAATTTCAGTTTTTTGTTATGTTGGTATGTGGTCTAACATTAGTATTAAAAGTTTGTTAATTACATCAATAATCATATTTAAATAAATTATATTATTTATATGGTTATCATCAATTAATAAACAGAAAATAAATAGTTGAATAAATTTAATTAAAACTAAAATTACAAATGAGATACTTTAAACCATGTATTAGTTTTAAAACTCTTTTGAATTGGTTGACATATGTGCTGGTTCATAATTTAATAGTTTCTTTTAAAAATAAAAGTATCAGACTAATTAA